TTTCCGCCCGATTGTGATAGTTAATTTTAAATAAAAATGTGGATTTGAATTAGAAATCGTCACATTCGTCAAAAAATGAAATAACATTTTTAAGGTGTTTGGTTTGGTTTTTTACTTTTTACCACACTGTCTAATACACATACAAAATTCAGTTTTTTAATATTTGGAGCAATTATTATTGCTCAATCAACGCAAACAGTCAATTAATTTATGGTTACACTCAATAGCTGTGCCAGCGATGTTGTTGCCGCTTCCTTAATGTGTGACCAAACCACCTCAGTTTGATCTCATTATACACCTGCCTCTGGTTGGTAAAACTTCATAATACCAGGAGTTAATAGTCTACCAAAATAAAACATAAAAACAAAACAAAGTGATGAAACTATTAACAACAGGTAATGCAAACCCAATTTTTTGACAATATCAAAAACGATATCGGATAGTTCATTAAAATAGCAATTTAAGCCCCAACACCAAATCAAAATTACACCGATTTAATTAGAGGCAAAAAAGAATTAATTATAGGACGAATTTCGTAACAAAAGGCCGTCTGTAAAATAATACCAGCGCAGCGCACCCTAGCGCCGCGGATCCGCGCTATGGAACGAGGCCAATTCATTGCGATATTTTATTCCGAAGCGCGTCGTATAGCTATATAACCTGTTAAATCAGCACGGGGGCCCTTTCATTAGGCCAATTAATTTCTGACCGGCAATTCTGAGTGATTTATTGCGCAGGGGAGGATTGGAGTTATCTCTGTGGGACGTCAGGTCGTTTTGTCTCTCTAAAAGCATTATATTTCTATATTTATCATTCAATTAGATGCTTAAAAATATATTAGTAATTATAATTAACTTTAACTTATCAACTCCCCCGCACAAAATACCGGGGTAAATCAGAACTGTAAAATAGTACGAGAGCTAGCAAGGTCAGGAAAACAAGTATTTTAAGAAAGCTGGTTCTTTAATACCGTGCTGGCAACTGTTACTTTTGGGTCGCAACTTACATGCGTGGAAGTAAATCGCATAGGGATCTTATTAAGTCGGAGTGAGAGGCCATGGTGTGCTGTTGCGGCGTTGCTGGTACCCCCCCATGCAGTACATCAAATCACGTTTACGATGTGTTTACATTATTAGATGTAGACACAGGGTGACACAATTCCCCCGATATAAATATGCTACGTTTACACATTGTAGTTCAACACGTGTGCACAAAGGTTAAACGTCCGCCTCACAATGTAGCCACAGTATAGCATTTACGTATACACAAAGTAAGGGATACACAGTGTGCCGTAGGATACACAGTGCTTCTGTATTACGTTTAAACTCTGTTTACACATTGCAGTTGTGACTACCGCGTGTATAAGTATGTATTTTGCTTCGTATATACATCTTGTGCTTGATAAAACTACTTCTAATGAACGAATTTAGGAAATAATACAAGTTTTGATGCCTAACTTTTCGTTCTTTTTAAGAAATATTTATTCAATGATACCAATTATATCTTTCTAGAACGAAAATTAGGAAGGCAAAACTTTGTGTTTTCCAAAAGTATCTCAATCGTAAGTTCAAGAGGAGTAGCCTTAAAATTGTTCCATTTTTGTTTTGTATTAAATGTACCATTTTTCTTTGATAAAATGAATTAAGTGGTTAAAAAATTAAATTCTTATATTTCTTTATATCATGGAACGCAATAGCGCAAATAACACAATAATAATAATTATTTATACTGCAGAAACCAGAAGTAAGAAAACACTGTAAAAGAACAGAGTTTGTATCAGAATGTATAAAAAATATAAGTACCTAGTATAATACATATTAAAATGGTAAACACTGGTATATCGCCACGATTTGGTGGACCTCGTTTAGTCATTTTTTCTCCTCTTTTCCCTCCAAGCAGTTGGTTTGTTAGCATACATCGAGCACTCTGTTGAACTTGTATTTTATTTCCAGATTAACAATCTCAACCTTAAACTTTATATGAAACTGATTATTGAATATTAATCATATCTGTATATTGATCCATCAATAACTTACCGAATATCAGTGTAAGAAGTTCTTTGAAGTGTTTAAATCTTTCTTTCTCTGGTCCATTTAGATTTTTATTATTTCCAAATTAAAAAAAAACATATTGCAGAGCTAACCTCTTTATCATTATACGAGAATATCGGAGTTTTCATTCATTCGAGTCAAAATTTGGTAAATTGGGTATCGAGTAAGGGAAGAGTCGCTGCTATAATATTAATAATACTCTTAGGAAAGTGTAACAAAGTAATTAAAAACTTGTGCTTACCTTAAAATCACTTTTAAACTACACACAAACAGAACATTTATATAGAGCTTCCGAACGATAAAACAATAATGGCTGCTAACACATACCCACTCCTAGAAAGGAGAAAGGAGAGAGGACACATAAGATACACTTGGTCGGTGTATCTACGCTGAGACGATTCGCACGTGCGCACACCTTCATTTCATGCTAAAATGTAGACACAACAGTACATTATTACAAAGTGTCTATATAGATATTTATATTATATGGATACGTCATATTTTTACAAGGTGTGTACTATAGGCACAACTATGATACGAAGTATCACACATACATATGACTTATACATTGTATGTCTCATATATCGACGTCAGATTTCATCATTTTAATAATTATTTGTTACGTTACAAAAAACTCTTTAGAATCTTGAGTGCATACGGAATACAACTAGTAAACACTGTATCACACAATTCTATCAATATAAACCTGCGTGTATCTCATATGTATATGTTAGAAATAGATGAACACTTACGTTCACTTTACCACATTTTGTTTCTCATGTGTCTCCCCCATAGAAACGTAATTTCATTTGGACGTGCTGTATGGGCCTTTCCCTCTCAGGTAAAGTAAAATCACGATCGCAAACCGCTTATTTTGAAACGACTTTTTTTTCGAAAATATAACTAGATAAAATCATTAGATATGTTTCTGAAATAGAATTAATAAGGATCATCATCATCATGTAGCCATCGTTGTCCACTGCTAAACGTAGGCCTCCTCCATATTTCTCCATGTCTCTCGATTTTGGGCCATCATCATCCAATTTCCAGCAATCCTCTATACATCATCGGTCCAGCGTGTCGGTGGTCTGCCTCTGCTACGTTTATCTGCTCGAGGTCGCCATTCTAACAATCTTCTAGTCCACCTGTCTTTAGATGCTCTCGCCACATGACCTGCTCTTTATAAGGACCTGCTATAAGGATATCGTTAGGGTAATCACTTATTTTTAATAGATTTTGAGATATCGATTTATTTTGAATTCAGAGTTCTAATAGCGCGCCCACTGTCGAATACCAACTCAATTCCACTTATTTTTACCAAAAATGCAAGTATTTCTAACTTGCACTTAAAAATTTTTAAGCTCTGGGGAGAATTACAACGACTCGTTAATAAATAAACAAATAAAGTATCGCGAGATATAATTAAATCGTGAAGCTGAACGCATGATGTACACCTTTCTCTAGAACTTTACTGATGTGGTACTTATTGGGTCGACCGGTGGACTGCGACAAATCTGCTATATCCCCTTCCACGTCTCTTAGCAATGTGCGCAGGTTTTCGATTTATTTCATGCGTTTGGCAACGTGTTTATTGTTGTCTCTTTGTCCATTACATTATAAACGCATTGTACTCTTCTTACATATGGAAATCTCGACCCAAGACTAACCTTTGCCACCCTTTAGTATATCGTTTACTATGCTCTTCGAAACAGCATGCGGCCCGTCTGGCTGTCGGTAAACGTTGCGTTTCCTACTGCGCATTGAAAGAAGATCCTATATTTTTATTAGTCCTTTAAATTCTAGTATTGAATATAAACCGACCGAGTCTCCATAGCTCAGCGCGTAGAGGTTCCGCCTATCAAGCGGGGAGTCAGAGTTCAAAACCGGGTCAGGGTAAAAACTTTTTTATTTTATTTTCGTTTATATTCTGACAGTAAAGTATTAAATAATTCTGGCGATTAAAAAAAAACAAATATTTAATACTTTACTATCAGAATATAAACGAGAATAAAACAAAAAAGTTTTTGCCCTGACCCGATCTCGAACTGTGAATCCTCGGTTCGTAGTCTGAAACTCTACGCGCTGCGCTATGGAGACTTATTCGATTTATATTCAATACTAGAATTTAACGGACTAAATAAAAAAAAATAGGATCTTCTTCCGATGCGCAGTAGTGAACGCGACGGGTATCGGCAACCAGATAGGCCGCATGCTATTCCAGAGAGCATAGTAAAAAATATATCAAAGAGCCAGCTTTCTTAAAATACTTTCTCTTAGACTAAAAATGGGACGGACATTTTGTTCATGAATATTTTTAGAAAATTATTTAAAATATTAATGAACTGGAAAAAATAGGGAAATAATTCGAGCTCTTGTGGTATTACTAGAATTAATTTTTCTACGAAAATCCTTTTTTTTAATTTTATACATGGTTTTGTCATATACATAGCATTTGGATCATAATAATATGATAAATAAAGTTACATAATTAAATTATTAGATGTTCCAATTTTAACAAATTACTCCCTAATAATTAATTATTTTTCATTTCATTATCCAAATTTATTCCGCTGGTATAATATCGGCCCTACATTAATTTTAATATTATTTACATTAATACGTCGTAATTTATTTACAAATATATTATTATGCCATTTTGTAAACGAACACGGAATATGAAACATGTCGAAAAATCGCATTACATCCTGCAGGCTTTCGGCAAATTTGCATTAACAACATAATTGATTTACATACTACTGTGTCATCAAATATAAACGACGTCATAGTAACCGCAGAAATATAATTTTATTTAAATGTTGTCGATTTATATTTTTTCATTAGAGCACAAACTATTTTAAACTAAAGAAGAATAAATTTCAGATCTTATGCTTGAGGTTTGTCACAAAGGTATAATAATAATTTACTAGCGTAGGCGTTTCTTTTTCACAGGTTACTTAGAAGATAAAATATGTCTTCTCAAAGTAGTGAACAATTGCAGTGATCAAGTGATTGTGTTAGTAGTGCGGGAATACAGAGTTTCAACAATTCTACCTACGAGATGAAGTGTTTTTAATGATCTGACAGAAGGGAATGTGTATCAGGGAAAGGTTACTTATTATTTTATTTTGTTTTAAAGGATTTTATACATTTAACCACACAGGGATACAACATCAAAGTAATAATAATAATTTAAAGGTTTAGTACGTCTTGCAACGTTGTACGATGTCGAAGTTACACGTCATTGGGTCATTTCATTGCCCCTCACTTAGATTTATGGCACTCTTTGCTTTTGAAGTACGAGCCCTAACAACTAAATGTTCGGACAAACAAAAATTTATTAAAAACTGAATTATTCACATTTAAGAAATCTTAAAAATATTTACATTTAAGAAATCTTAAAAATATATTAAAATCTAACATTTCTAATGAGTATTTAAATAGTTTAGTTTCTATGTCCAGGTTTCGGCACCATACAGAAGTACAGACCAGATATAGCATTTAAGTAGTCATAGTCTAGGTATGGAAATTTTAACCGTTGATTTATCTAAAGATTCCCCTTTGTGTTCCGCCACTGGAATAACTTACAAAATAATTAACTCGGTCGGAAATTATGGAGACGTTAGGATCCCCCCAAATGTCATCAATCTATAACGCCCCTGCTCATCCAATTAAATCTTCCAACGTCGCTAATTCTATTACGACCCATAAATGCCACCATTAACACGGTCCGATATACTCACGCCTTATGATTGGACTTATAGTACCATTTGATAGCCTTAGATTTGATAAAAATAGAGTCAAGCTTGCCTAAGCAAATCCACAGTGAGATAAATAGTATATTAAAAAATGGGCTACATAATTTTTATACAGTTGTCCCTGGGTTGTCTTTACAAGAGGAAAAAATTTTTTTTATTATTGACAATTTGAGAAAAATGCATTCTTCATAAAATTTTTGCTTGTTCTAAAAGGCATACTTTTGAAAATGTCAGCTACTGTGTGGTTAAAAGTTTATTAATTCCTTATTTTGATTGCCCGCTACTGAAGCCTTTTAATATAGACAGAAAATTCAGGTATTCCAAAAGATTTTTGTTTTTGTTGGATGGTTGCTGAGTATAGAGCTGCCTATATATTCAAATAAATATCATATTAATAGTATGTTATTTACGAGTATATGAGTCATAATTAGCCACTTTCAAAAAGTCAAAAATAAAAGATTTTAATTCTAACCTTATTCTAAAAAGTACTCTAAATTATATTAATTTCTGTATATCTATGTATGTCAGAATATTATTTGACATCTGATGATTAGTGATAGTAATCTTTCAATTTGTTGAAAACATTACTGATATCTATTAAAACAACGAAGGATATCCCCCTGGATATTCTATACTTCTATATTTCTATATAGAGGTGGAGAGAATGAGCATATCAAAGTTTAAAACGAATAATAAAATTAACTAAACTAACTACATACTAATTATTAAATCATTAGACATTGAATTATAAAAACAGTTCAGAATGGTACAGAAGCAGTTTATTATCAGTATATAAGTTCTAAAAACACAAAAAATTATAACACATGTCAAACTAATCTCGAAAACCCTAGAAATTCGGAATAAATAAAATAAAGACAAAATTAAAATTTAAAAATTACTTATGGTCACCACTGTAGACCTAAGAGCAAACATCGCGCCATAATGGCATAAGAAAATGTTTAAATAGGCACTCGTCGAAGCTCATTTTCCTACCCCATATCTCTGAAATTACTCCTATGACAACATTGCGCGCATTTCTTATAGGCTCCAGTCCTCTCCCGATCACATGACCCATCTGTTCGCGCCTTCCATCGCCACGACTAGAGGGCGTCATGAGCGCCGTCTCGTCACCATGACCAGCGCCGCGTCGGCCATTGGCATGGCTCTGTTCGGCATGGTGTGGCTGTTGCGCGTGCGCGCCGAAATGAAACGCTGCGCCAAGTGCCAGAGGCGCGAGGCAGCGCGCGCCGCCTCGGGCAGACAGGCAACGTCGCGAGCCACGTCGTTCTTTACGATAGAGGGCGCGGCAACGCCGACCAGCGGCCAGGGGACGCTGAGGACGCCGGTCGTCGAGCCGCCGCCTACGACGTTCTGTGAAGTGCACGGATACGTGGCACCCAAAGAAGGTAACTCTTATGTTTACAATTATCATTGAGCATTAAGTTATATTATGTTTCAGAATTTTACGTATCTCTTGTTAATTGAATTGGTTGAACATAGATCTTACCCAATCTTTTCCACTTCTTCCTGTTTGTCACCATGTTCATCCATCTAGTTCCTGAATTTCTCTTCAGGTCATCCTCTTATCTCATTTAAAGTCTTTCTCTATTTCTTTTATTCTTTCTCTACTTCTTATATCCTATCAGTCAGCAATTATATCGAATTATTTTTTTTATAATAAATAGAAACTTATAAGGAGCTTAAACTTAAACAAAGAAGCCAAAGCAAGAGTAATAATATATAAAAAAAAACAACCCCAGAGTTCCCAACTAGCAAAGGAGTAAGACAGGGAGTCGCGATATCCCCAAAGAAATCTTCTGTCAACTGGACTGGACCAACAAAGGATTAAAAATAGATTAAGAATATCTTAACCATCTAAGATTCGCTGATGACATAGTTCTAATTGCCATTAGTCCTGAAGAATTACAAGTACAAATTAATGAACGAAATACAGCCATCAATAAAGCGGATATCAAAATGAATTTAGCAAAATATAAAGTAATGTACAACGAACTAGTGGACAGAAACTGGAACAGTAGATCAACACTGGAAACAGTAGAAGAATATACAGGGTGTCCCAGGCTGAGTGTACATTAGAAGTATCTAGAGAACCATAATATCTAGATCGGAGATTTTTTGCACATTACTGTTTCACAACGAGATCTATCGATTAAAAATATTTTCAATATGGCGGCACTCCCGGAAATACCGGAAGTTGACAGCAACTTTCTTATTTTAAATGGTTACCCCCGTAAGGACGTATATACACCTAAAGGAATTTATAGAAAAATAAATGAGATTTTTAGGATATACAGTTTTCTTTAAATCAGTACTTCGTCATCTTGCTCCGTTCGTCATCATGCCCCGACCTCCCCTATTTTGAGTATAATAAATTGTTTTTCCACGATTTTAAATGTCTTACCTTGTCAGATTTTTGTACCTTTTGTGTGAAACAAAAGTGTGAAGGGTGACGATTCACTGTAGGACTGCAGCGAGGATTACCCCCCTTTGAAATATAGTACAACACAACTAAAATACCTATTTAATGTAATAGTTAATAGAACCAAATGATCGTAAAAGAACGGCACCTATTTGGCTTGGAAACGACGATCGAGGGCATTCCCCATATAATTTTACATATAAAATCTTTATATCATACGCCGTTTTTGATCATATTGTATAACAATTTTTTGAAACAAAAGAAAATAAATGGTATGTTTATTTCAACAATCACAAAACAACCATTAATATCACAAAAATATAGAAATATCACGTAAGCTTTGGACAAATTATACTCTAAAGGGAGATTAAAAATGTCAAAAGCCAGTTGATATAGTTCTTCCTGCCTGTTCGCTCGAAAAATACCAGTAGAAGCATGGGGACTAAGTTATCCTATTGCCACGGAATAAAAACACTTTCAAGAATACGATTTCCCGTCCCTCAGTAGAACCACGCCCGCTTTCTCTTGGCTGTTCTACCCCCAGGTTCAGACTTGAAAGAGGTGACTCTTTTGAGGCTTTCAAGTTCAGACAAGTCTCAAAAATATAATTCAATCTAATGATATAGATATGGACATTGAAATTTCTAAACAATAACAATAACGATATATTATATTATACGAGTATACACTAATATAATTTAACTAACGACTTATACCGTTGAGTATTTGCCTACATCACCGTTGTTAACTATACACTAAAGCGTTTTTAACCATGTTCTCTCTGCCAAGTATTTGCCCGTTTCGATAATGAAAGGCCACGAGTACATGACGCCTTAATGAACAGTTCCCGCCTGGATGAATGCACCACCGGCCCGCTATAGGGCCAGACCAGGCGCCATTTTAATGAGATTTCTCGCGCAAATAATTTCAGCTGTTCGTTGCTGTCGAGAGGAAATATTTAAATTCTTAACGGGAGCTCGTTGATGGAATGGAGGAAAACGCGGAAAGAGGAGAGTTGGTAGGTAGCTTAATCCGGCAGGGCATTGTGTACGGGTTTATTGGAAAGGGCGAGAAGATAAACGGGCGAATCCGTTATGTCAGGACCTGTTAGAAACTGCAGTAGGGTTTTGGAGCATCGGTATTGCGTTTAACAGTTACTAGATTTTAATTAAACCTACGACTACAAGAGTTGGTTGATGCTGAATTTTCATAATTTAAATTCAATTTTTAAAGAGTCAAATTTCTGATTGTTAATATTGGTGCGAATGATTTCTATGTCAGTTTAATTCATCTGTTTTCGGAAGTAGTGAATCAAATAAATTGACTCCAAGTTACATAAAATTATTCAGCCAGCACTCTGTTCAGGAGAGCATAGCAAAAGATATACTAAGGGCTGGCAAAGGTTAGTCTTGGGTCGAGATTTACGTATGTAAGAAGAGTACAATGCATTTATAATGTACTGAACAAAGACAGGACAGTAAACACGTTGCCAAACATATGAAATAAACCGAGAAACTGTGCAAATCGCTAAGACACGTGGAAGGGGATATAGCAGATTTGTCGCAGTTGACCGGTCGACCCAATCAATACCTCAGTCAGTACTTAAAGTTCTAGGGGAACGAAGGTGTAGGTCATGCGTTCAGCTTCACGATTTAATTACGTCTCGTGATACTTAATTTGTTTATTTATTAACGAGCCGTTGTAATTTTCCCTATAGCTTGAATTTTTTTAAGTGCAAGCTAGAAACACTTGCATTTTTGGTAAAAATAAGTGGAATTGAGTGGGTGTTCGATAGTGGTCGCGCTATTAGAACTCTGAATTCAAAAATCGATATCTCAAAATCTATTAGAAATAATAGATTGTAGTTTTTTCAAGAACTTTGTTAATATATTTCTGCTGTATTTTCTTTGTACATCGTATGTGAAAATCTTTATCAATAAAAAATTACACGATTGCTGAAAATTGCTATGTTCTAAAAGTAAATGGATCGATTGTTTACAATTTTTGAATGGAAAAAACAACCTTATCGAATTTTTCTTATGTAAACATATTGTAAAATATCCGATCTTGAAAATAAAAAAAAAGTTTCAATATCTAAAGTGGTTCTTGAGTTATGGCCTGTTATGTGTTAAAAAGTTGAGTTTTTAAATTATCGCGATTACTGACGTTTTTTCGTTATAAAAAAAATGACACCTTAACGATATCTTTATAATTCCATTTCAGATGCTCAGAAACATGTTTAATGATTTTATCTAGTTATCTTTTGAAAAAAAAGTCTTTTAAAAATAAGCGGTTTGCGATGGTGATTTTACTTTACTTGATAGGGAAAGACGTATCGGCAACGCCGCAACAGCACACCCGGTCGGTCGCATTTCTCTCACTCCGACTTAATAACATCCCTATGCGATTTACTTCCACACATGTAAATGCCGACCCAAAAGTAACAGTTGCCAGCACGGTATTAAAGAACCAGCTTTCTTAAAATTCTCGTTTTCCCGACGATGCCAGGCGCTTGTACTATTATATTTTTACTAAGGTTAAATTAAATTTGTCAAAAAAGTGTTAAAACGTCCGTTATCGTACGATCTTTCTCCGATGACGGACTGACGTAAAAAATTTACGGATGAAAAGTGGCGTGAAAACGCTATGACCAATCAGAGCGCCGCGCCGTCGCATGGTCCGACGCCTCGGACAAACGAAGCCCTTTTGTATAGAGGTAATTTGTGTCCAATGAACTTATTTTGATTCCAAAAATACGTAGTAGTTCCACGGAATATTGGGACACCCTGTATTTTTTATCCGAGATGATTCTGTGTATAACTTCTTATATTTAAAATGAATTTATTTGTTTTATTTCTTGATCTATTCTCATTTAGGGAGCTTTTAAATCATAAAAAGACTATAAAAGAAGACTCATAATAGCGAAAGCTGAAAATCTAAAATTTGAAACGAACGTCTCGATATCAATCGGGGGTAATTTCCTTCGCAGTTAACTTTTTAATTAAATCTAATTGAGCCGAGAGCCCGGGGCGAACAGTGCAGCCTCGCTCGCACACTAGCAATCATCATTACGATAATGAAACTGGTATTACTGAGTGCGGAGACGCTCTGACGACTTTCCAAAGTAACTTTCTGTGCAGCATCGAGTGGGAGGCAGTGCGGTTTTGTCTCGTCATCTCGACGTTAAAGTTTCCAGCTTATGTGTTCTTTGATTCGACTTTAATGCGACCACGCTCGTATTTCTCTTGTTGTAGACTGGAAATGGAGGTTTCTTACGTTTAGGGTTATATCCGTTTGTGGTTTGCTTTACTGGGTATCGGTTTTTATTAAACGATGCAAGATTGGGTAAAAATGAGTTGTTTTTACTAGATTTGGGCGACGCACGACGTCGAGAATGTCACGTTTCAACTATGATATCGACGTCGACTTACTAAGGGACGGCGTCAATGTCGATAGTGTAGTAAACCGCTACTAATTTGGTACAAAAATAATCACTAGAGTTAGTATCCAAATTGACCGACAATATTTCCTGAATATACTATTGTTTGCAGACGACCAGCGATGTCGCAATAAAAGTCCGGCACAAAGAGTCGTACCAGACGAGGATACCTTACAAAGGGAGGTTCATCTCTCCTAGACAAGATAATAACAAAATATGATGGAAAAATATCTGCCGAAAGAACAAAAGTGATGGCACACTGGGGCAAAGATGGAATCCGCACAAAAATAATTTTAAGAAATAAACCACTACAGCAAATATCGCACTTCAGCTTCTTGGTATTCGGCGTAACCTATAATAACGATAATGACTACATGAAAAAAATAAATAAATTCCAGTCAGTGTGTATCGTTAAACGTTTAAAAACTATCGTAAAACTTTTAAAAACCAAGCACGGTTAGAAACGCAAGTAAGACTATATATATTACATTAGCGGTACCGAGTGTATTATATGGAAGTGAAGCTTG